TTTTGGGAAAATTCAGGCATGTTATTCTGATGTTATATTTTTCAAAGAAAATTAAAACTTTGACAATAATTCAAGCATTGAGCTAGTGTTTCTGTGTTCCATAAGTAGGAGATACTATTTCTTTATTGTTATTTTCATTAACAGTATTAGTTAAAACTATTTAATATATCTAATTTTATAACTTTTTACTTTTAGTATATACCGTTATCTCACTTTATGTACTAAGGACTAACCTAAATCTCCTAAGCGTCCAAACCTCGCGATATAATCGGAATTATTCAGTGTTGTAGGAGTCACAAACTATGTTTTGAAGAAACAACTCGCAGGCTCAATGCTCATTATCGCGAACACCTTAAATTTGTACGAGAAAGCTCCACTGATTTTCCAGTTACTAGGTGCTTTAATTCTCCTTACCATAATTATACTTTAGACATGCAAGTTTGTGTCACCAAAAACGCAATACCCTATGAATTAAAACAAGAAAGCCTAGAACACAGTCTCATCTTCCAACTTAACACATTATTATAAAGTAAAAAATTTTACTTTCAAATAATTTTGACACCAGTTTTTTTTTCCCAAATCCAAATTTTTCTCTAGATGTGTTCAATTTCCTTTGTAAAAGCCCCCTCGCTTAGAAATATTGAACTTTTTGTATTTATATACTTACTAGCATAAGTTCACGTTTACTTGTCTTTTGCCCCCTCCCCCGTGGCACAGTGGTATGTGTGCGGACTTACAACGCTAAAAACCGGCTTTCGATACCCGTGGTGGGCGGAGCACAAATAGCCCATCGTATAGCTTTGTGCTTAAATACAAACAAAGAAACAAACTTACTTACTCGTCTTTCAGAATCATTTTGTTTCTTCAGGAGCTTAATTTGACCGTGACAACTGTTTTCCCTCTGCTTCAGTTATTCTACTTCTTACTAAGCTTTCTCGATTTGGTTGTGCTATCCATCTACCTTTTCTTTCTCTTGCTAAGCAATATGTTGTTTCTAGCACTGTTTCTGAATTATTTTTAATTGTATTCAGAGTCTATTTCACAGATGGTGTTAAAAGTTTTTATTTTAAATAAAAAGTTGAGGTGGCGTGATGCTGTAAACATGCCGTTTTTTTAATTCGAATGTTAATTAATATCTCAAATCTATAAATTAAAATACAATTGTACTGAAAGAAACTGGTGTAAATACGGTTACTTAATAAAAAAGTTTTATTTTATTTCCAATCACTGGGATTTGGATGCGAGACTTACACATGCGAGTCATTTACTATAACCACTTTCACATTCAGCGGCTGAAATTCAATGTTAACAAATATTAATTTAAAATATCATGGTATAAGTGTTTTTCCAAATATTGAAAGGGATTGCTTTAAATGTGATACTTATATAAAAAAACAGTTGTACTGGTGTTCGAATTCAGAATTTCCGCCTCAGGCGCTCTAACGACTGAGGCAATTTGAGCGAAATGAACAGATAGTGGCTTTTATACACATTTTCGACGATAATATTTTCCAAAATCCAATTTCTGTTCGTCAATCTAAATAATTTCCTTTTTCTTGCGAATTTCAATGCCTTTAAAAGTTGCGGTTTAAACACCGAAAGCTAGCGAAGCATTGGAAACGAATAAGCCTAACATTTGTGATAAAAACTTTATGTTAAACTGCATTTGTTTCCCCACACAATCTTCTTAATTTGCCTTTGAGGATTCAAATTTAAAGACATGTAAGAAATAGCATTTCAGATCTATCTTTTACTTCCCACATGTCAGTCCAAGAAATCTTTCGTCAATACTGGAGCTCATCAGATGGGCTTGACGATGAGACAAAAGATTCTCTGAAACGCAGTACTGTACTTTACATAAGCTGAAACGGATATATTTTTTAATTTAAGGTCTACATAATTTGGCATTTAAAACGAGTAAACTAATCAAAACGAAATACGATTATTCTATAAGCAAAAGTAAAGCAGAAAAAAGTAGCAGCAAACGTTACGTAACTTTTTTTAATCATTAGGAATTGCGAGTTACTTCAAGTAATGTTTGATGTTTAAGTACCTGTATCTTCGAATACTTCTACTGACAGTTTTTGTAACATTTGATATTATTATAACAGATGACTTTATTTTCATTTATCTTTGGCTACTTTCACCTATAAAGTTATTTGGTTTAATGTATAGTGACCAGCACAAAATAGCATCTGTGTATACAGCTGTCACTCCACTCTGCTCGTACAGCAACTTTATTCTTGCGTATTTCAGATAAATTGAAAATTGGCCGCTAGACATTGCCAATGTTTGAACTTGAATTATATTTTTATAGGCATTTCCTGCCATTTTTCCTTGTGCCAGACCACGTTTAAGACTCTATACTCAGTTTGAAGAACTCAGCAAGGAGCTGAAAAAGTCTTCCTTGCACAAAGAAAAATGGCAGAAGTCCGTAAATATGTCAACCAAGAAAACTTCTTCCACGATACGACTTTTATTGATATGTACCATTATGTCTAATGTGACAACTATCTTTTGTAGAAGGTTCACGTAAAATTATGACTTTACTCATTGACTACGTTTGTCTCAGTTAGTCTAAGATACTTTTAATGCAGCAAAATTTTAACGTTGACTAAACCATCTATTTAATACAAAAAATGTTAACAGCAAAACGGCAAAAGCTCATATATTTAGATCTCTTAATAAATCGTGTTTTAATCTTACCAAATTACCCACAAAAATGTGTTTAAGTCAAATACTTTATTGAACAAGTTAAATTACATGATGCATTCATTGAAAGCTATATTGTTGAGATTAATAAAAATGTCACCAGATGGAAATATGGGGGTGCGTGGATCAACACTTCATTCAAAAGAAGGTAAGTTTTAATCAAACTGCTTAACTCTAAAAATGTTTTTTTCCAATTGGCCAAGTCCTTTGAGAATAATTTTTTATGGTAGTCCTTTTATTACAGTAAAGCCACGTTGAACTTAATTCGTAAAGGCTATATTATGAACTTGAGTGTCCTGATTTTTTTTAAGTAGATAATGAACTTAAGGACTGAAAAGTTTTTTTTATGTTAAAAAAAAAATGCTAGTTATTTTTTTTTAATTCATATAAAGAAAATTGAAAAAACAATCAAACGAAAAAGAACTTACGCTCCCTTTTTCTATGTTGCAAAACTCTGTGTGATAAGCTATGTTAACAATCTTTCCACAGTTCATAATTAATACACATACTAGTTCTTAAAAAATTATTTTAAAATCTTTTAAACAAGAATTTTTCTTCCTTTCGTCTTAAATTAGTCAAAAGATAAACTATAGATCTACAAAAAAAACAAAAAACAAACATATCATGTATGTTCAAAATGGAGCTTATCTCTGAACAAAGACCACATCCATAACATTATGAACCATATTTTTATATAAATCTCTAGAAAAGGAAGATTTTTATAGTTGTTCTTGATTATGTTTGATTACAACCGGAACATTTATCACTTACAAAAATTTATTAACAACCAGCAGAAGATTAAATCAAGACAAACAACTACAAAAATGAGGTAAGTTCACTGCACTCACCTTGATATATCTCTTAAGCAAAGGTGTGTATTTTTTATTTTTTTACACTCAAATTTTCAATAACCCCGAATTTTTCACGTTAGCATCATGCAACTGCAGAAAAATATACGATATGGATTCCTACCTAAGTCCAAAGCTAAAAATGTGTTGGTGACAACAATAAAAAGGCAGTAACTTCAGCTTCTTAATGTACAACTTAAAATTTAGAAACAAAAAAACAGAAAAGTAGCAAATTAGAAGTTACATATTTAAGTATAGAATGGTTCAATTTAAATAATTCCCCATATAAAATTGAAGTTAGGTCTGGTTAAGATCTAATGTTTTTAAATTCCATGGTCCCAAAAGTGTAGAAGAAGCTACCATGATTTGTTAAGTAAACCTCAAGTTAAAAAAAAATCAATTAACATAACTCATTATTTATTAGCATATGCCATCTTTGGCCAGACAAGTTTGGCACAAATTCATGATTTTTCTACTATTCACAACTATTGTAATAAACCTTTGGCCATAATTTCAACAAAACAAAGAGACAATTCTTACAACAGAGGTCACAATTTGACATAATAACTGTTGTTTCTCCAGAGATCTCAACAAAGAGTTCAACAAGATGTCAGGACAAGCAAACAAAGTGGGAAGTGGAATCAGGTAATGAGCAGGCCTCAGAAAAACTGGCATTAAGTAAGGCCAAAATTGTGCCAACTGGTGGAGTGTGTGGTTCAAATGTCTCCCCATCAGTGGCTATCACAGCCTTAAGCAAACATCAAGAAATACAGCACCCTGGACTCTCCCTGCTTGCATTGACTCATTCAAGCAAGAGAAAACTTAAGACACACAAAATAATAAAGTCACAAAACAATTTTACAACACACTCAGTTGATGCCTGCCCATCACTTGTCACTACTTAAGATGAGGCAGTTTTACAAATTTTAGCTCAATCACCATGAACACTTCAGCCCAAATATTTGTACTTGGGGTGTGGTCAACAAAGGCATGTCCATTTGTGTATGCACTTTGTAGTGATGCGAGTATGGTTGGCCCACTATGCTTAAGACACAGTACTTCTATAAATTGACTAGAGCAGGAAAAAAAATGCCCCTGCAAAGAAAAATTAGAAAACATTCATTTAAACATTTTTCTTCTCTTTTTTATGGAAGTTGTAGAAAAATTGCAGCAAATCTGTTCCTATCTGTTTTGTATTAAAAAAAACAATATAAAGTCAAAGAGAAACTGTGTGTTTACGAGACTTATAGAAACTGTCCTGAGAATTAGGTCCACAGCCCATTAGTCATGTCGCATAGTTTCTCTGCAAGCACATTAATACAAGATTCCAAGAAAAGGAAATCAAACAATTATAAAACAAATTTATGTATTAATATAAATCCAACTGTGTCATGAGTTTGTGCTGCAGTCACCAAACATATGGGACAAAGGGATAAGCTCTTAGTTTGTGGAGTAGCACATGAGCCGAGATCATTAGTTCCAGATATTTAAAAAGCTGTCCCATGATCCAGTGGCAACTGCCATTCCATCTTCAGTTACACCCAGACAACTGACTCTGTTGTCATGTCCAGCAAGAACACCTAAACAAAAAAATTATATGTAGAACAGATAATTTCTCTTTTTACTTTGATATACATTTCCTCTAAATTATAGTAATATTTTTGAAGTAACCCGAGTTATTTGCTAGGTGTTTAAGTTAAATCACAAGTTACACAGGATACTTGGTCTCTATCTAAATATGTTCCATTAAAATAATTTTCTAGTAATAAACAAGCTCACACAAACCTGCTCGTTCGGCCTTCATTGCATCCCATACATTACAGTTAAAGTCGTCATAACCCGCCATTAGAAGTCGGCCACTCTTGGAAAAGGCCACGGAGGTGATGCCACAGATTATGTTGTCATGAGAGTACATGGCCAACTCCTGGTCTGCACGTACGTCAAAAAGTCGGCATGTAGCATCATCAGATCCCGTGGCAAAAGCATAACCATTTGGGAAGAACTACATAAATATATGAGAGAGAAGCTAGAACTTTGAAACTCAGTGAAAGTCAAAAGATTACCTATCATAATAAAGTACTTTCCCCATTATCAAGTACAGTGTGTCTACTTACAAGAAAACAGCAAGAAATACATAATTCCAAGTACAAACTATTCCTTAACCCTATAACGATGACACCATTTTTAAAACTCTTTCTGTATATGTTACGGAGTTATATTAATCAAACTATTTTTATCAAGTATGTTATAATTCAAAGTTTTATCTTATCTCAGTTTTTATTTCAAAAGAAACCTCTAAAATAATTAAATATTTTGGTGTGGTATCAGTTGATGCTCTCCTGATTCAAAATATCTGAACGTTAGAGCTGTGTGTAAGGTAGACGTGTTCTTGCAGACATTCAAAGTACATGTACATAGCTTGTTTACAAGTAAATCTAGTCAACTTCCAATAACCTGTTTCTGAGGAAAATGCTGTAAAAATTCTTTCGGTTCAAGATAAGCCATGCCCACTTCCAAAGCAGAAGTGTGTTGCTAAGAAACATCAGATTTCCCATTAAAATGTCACCAAATTAACAGTGTATATATTATATCTGTTCACAAACGAGGCCAAATAAACTTTAATACAATGTTCAAGGGGGCGTCCCTAGCACTTGGCTACTTTTTCTGACCTTATACATATTAGTTTCATTGACAGTGAAATTGCAATTAGGTTTTACTTTTATATTTTAGTTAATTAAGAATTATTTGTGTTTCAAAATTACTATTTACAAAATTTAATGATTTTTAAAAATACTTCTGATCTTTGCCTTGAAGCCTAGAAAAATAAACAAGTTCAAAACATTTTACCAGAGGCTAAAGCGTCTCTGCCAATGATAACATTATATTGTAGGCAAACATGAGATGATGACGTGTATCATCATAAATAATCAAAGATAAAGAAGAGCAAAGGAAAATAAAACATTAAAATAAACTAAAAGAGAAAAGGTAAAGACAAGAAATTACATAAAAGACCAAAAGAGAATATTTGAAGATTATTCAACAAAGAGATAAAAGGTACGTATACATAATGCTAGTGTAAACTATATAACTGGACCATTTATAAAACAATGGAATACTACTATATACATACAATTATAAAGTATAATGCTAATATGAACTATATAACTGGACTATTTATAAAACAATGGAACACTACTATACACATACAATTATAAAGTATAATGCTAATATAAACTATATAACTGGACCTATTTATAAAACAATGGAACACAACTATACATATACAATTATAAAGTATAATGTTAATATAAACTATATAACTGGACCATTTATAAAACAGTGGAACACAACTATACATATACAATTATAAAGTATAATGCTAATATAAACTATATAACTGGACCATTTATAAAACAATGGAACACTACTATACATATACAATTATAAAGTATAATGTTAATATAAACTATATAACTGGACCATTTATAAAACAATGGAACACTACTATACATATACAATTATAAAGTATAATGTTAATATAAACTATATAACTGGACCATTTATAAAACAATGGAACACTACTATACACATACAATTATAAAGTATAACGTTAATATAAACTATATAACTGGACCATTTATAAAACAATGGAACACTACTATACATATACAATTATAAAGT